GGTTTCGTTCAGGTCGTGGATGCATTGATCATGTGTTCACCCTTCGTCAGTTGTTGGAACACCGCCACACGTATTGCAGGCCAACGATCGTTGTGTTTCTTGATATTAGGGCTGCCTTCGATTCGTTGGACAGAACTGTGCTCTGGAACTGTCTGTTAGAGAGAGGTGTACCTGAGAAATTTGTTAACATCTTGAAAGCCCTATACAGAAACACCTCAGGTAGAGTGAGGGCATACAACCAACTATCACCACTGTTCCCAACCAACAGTGGGGTTAGACAGGGTTGCCCAATCTCTCCATTTCTCTTTAACTTTGCCATCGATGACATTCTGGAGTCAGCTCTGAAGGATGTGCGTGAAGGTGGTGTAGATCTGCTACCTGGAGATAGACTTTTCGACCTCGAGTATGCAGACGATATCGTCTTACTGTGCGATAGCATGCAGGCTGCCCAAATCGCACTTAATCAGTTGGCGATCAGTGTCTGTAAGTATGGTATGTGCTTTGCGCCGTCTAAGTGCAAAGTACTGTTACAAGATTGGCAGGAGCCTGTACCTGCACTCACTCTTGCGGGTGAACCGCTTGAAGTTGTTGATAAGTTTGTGTACCTGGGTAGTTGTGTGAGTGCTGGCGGAGGGGTGACGGATGAGATTTCCAACCGTATAATGAAGGCTAGGGTGGCATACATCAACTTGAGCCACCTCTGGCGCCGTCGCGACGTTAGCCTGGCTGTCAAAGGTCGGGTATACAATGCTTCGGTGCGGGCTGTCTTGCTCTACGCCTGTGAAACCTGGCCTCTCCGAGCTGAGGATGTGCGGCGACTCTGCGTGTTCGATCACCGCTGTCTCCGCAGGATTGCTTGCGTTCGATGGCATCATCGCGTGAGTAATTCTGAGGTTCGGCGGCGTGTGTTTGAACACAGTGGAGATCACCATTCATTGAATGTCGTCATCTGGAAACACCGGCTCCGGTGGCTTGGACATGTGCTCCGAATGTCACCCCAGAGGCTTCCGTACAGGTCTCTGTTCGCTAGCCCTGGGACGGGATGGAAAAGGCGGAGGGGTGGTCAGTCCATGACGTGGGGTCGTGGGATGAAGGATTTGTGCTAGATTAGCATCGGTTGGTGCGTCACGACTCCCTGGTTGGGGTCCGCGAGATAACTCGAATCGATGGCTCGAAACGCTATTGAATATGGTCAAGAATAGTAATCAATGGCGAACGTGTTGCAATTTTCTTCTTTCTCGCCTTCCTGATGATAGTTAACGAATACTGTTTGAGCTAGTTAAGTAGGACTATTTTCCTTCCAGATGAAGTTCTTTATCCGTTCTCTACTCATATTTCTTACTTTTGATCTATGTTGTTTCATTATTATTGTGTGGCGCATCTTGCTTGGTGCCATATTGTACCAAGTTTTTTTCTGCGTTTAAATAAATAATAATAATCTAATTCAATAAGGCTGCTTGTTTCCAGGTGACAAATTAATCCTTAAATCTCTAAGTTATGGTCAGTTCCATTAATACATCTATGACGAAATTATACAAAAGGGAAACAGTGGGTATCGCTGACGGATAATTATTTTCAATGATTCTTTGGTATGTTTTACCGTTGTCACATTGAAAAACGCTTGCACTGATGTGATTATTTTAAAACTCTCAATTACCTTGGGAAGAATTTTGTCCTTAAGCTTTCTAAGATTTTTTGTGTTAATTTTACTTTTGTGTGTTTGCCTGTTGACCTGAAAGAGACTTTCGAAACTCTTTATACACTCATCTATGCAAAATGATTTAATCTACTGAACACTGTGTAATAAGTTCAGAGCGAATTATTGCACATCGACCGAAAAAGTCTTCAGTGGAAACAGATTAGGATAAAACTCAGCTAGGCGCAAACAAAATAAGATAAAATCGCTAAATCAAGAAAAAGCTCAGTTATTGCGATATGCATGCAATGACAAATAAATCAGACTGTAGAATTGTGAAACTTGATAGTTTTTTCTGAAGTTCAGAATAATTAAATGGAAGAGATAGGCTGCTCGTTGAATGTCACAACAGGCAATGTGGATAACTTGGAAACTTTATCGCAACGATGTTTTCCAAATGTTTATTCTTGGTGACTTGATAGTTTAAAAGAGGTGGCTTGTGTTATTTTGTTGAATGGTTTAAACCAAAAGTTTCACCCCATGGATTGATATCAAAACTTCGTCAGAAGACTGTTAGCACCTTCGCAATCTTATCCTTTTCGAGTAGGATTCCATTTTAAGCAGTGACAATCTATAACCTCAAGGTGTTTATTCATAGTTTGATCACACGAAAACAATCACACGGTTTTATCAGTGGCTGAATAACTATAGCTTTTCGTGTGAATCACCTTCAAACATTGTGCTTTATATTGATACAGTAAGACCAACAGATAACTGCTTTGCAAATAACAAAGGTATCAAGTTCCAAACTTCGTGATGCACATAACTGCATTCAAAAAAAGTCATCAAAAGTAATAGTAGGGGTGTAGTTTACTACCATCTATTACCTACAAATTAGTGAATACCGACAAATGTTTTCCCATAGACAATCTTGGAATATTCTGATGTGATTATTCCAAAAGTGTAAACAGTGAAGACACCAACAAAAAATACTAGGGCAGTTCATAGAAGCTTCGTGTATTCAGAAGAATCAGCGATCAACAAACATGATTAAAAATTATATTTATCAGCTAATAAAGAATATGTCACACGACAAAATAGTCAAATTCTAAATCAGTAAAAACAATCAATGCTAATGCAATTTAACAGCTGACCAAAGCAAGCCAAGGTTGTCCGGAGAGACAATTATACCATTCACGGAGAATTCAAATAAGTTGACCTTATACTAAAGTTTGTGCTGAAGATGATGTCTAGAAGCAGGATAATGGGAGCTTAACAATTAAACCACCCAACTTAGAGAAGGCAACTGTGCAAAAATCATCCACCTGATCTATAAAATCTCTATTACTTCAAGTCTCAAAATGTCAGAGTAACAGCTAGTAGTCAGTCAGTGAATAATTACGGTAGATTTCTACACTATTTAAATGTAATTGCGCATAGGAATCAGATAACGCCTGCGATAACATCCTACGGACTCTATGATAATGAAAAAGCAAGGGTTACTTTCATCCCAAAACAGTACATGACATATATATATACATATATGTACATCGGTAACCAAAACTGTAGCATCAATTATCATGTAACAAGTGAATGCATAGTTCACATGAGTAAAGCGATTTCAACTATATACAAGTGGATCAGGGTTCTGAATCCCAATTCACTTACTTCGACCACGGCAATCATTTGGGTATGCCTTACAGAATCTTATCAACTAGAGTGTAGCAGACAGCCTAGTAAAAATAAAGGCATATATATGACGTAGTTTTTTGTTTAGTTGTGATTATTTATAAAGAAGAGTAACAGTAAACACAAAATATCACTATTTGGGTGAACAACAACGACCTACTGAATTACCTTGATCAACTAATCGTAATCATCACATGAAAAAAGACATTAATAATCCAGAAAATTGTTATTACACATACAAAAAATAGAATTACACAGAATATCAGTTGTTAAAGCATAGCACAAATATCCCTCAGTTTCACAATGGAACAGCTGCGGAGAATTCAAACCAGTCAGTCGCTACCTATACATGAATTCGTCTAGATGGCTATAAGTCATGTCATCCTGAGCTGGTCACTTAGACTTACTAAAAACAGTCTTTTCCAATAAGTGAACATATTAAGCGACATACCATCCAGTATAGATTTTCTAGCACCCGCAAGCTATGCAAGGTTTGTTAACCAATCATCTTCTTGCTTACCTTGAAGTATGCAAGGCATGAATTACGCTGTCATTCTCATACAGATCAAATATTACAGTAGTGAATAGATTGATGCCTCATAGCAGAGAGTAAAGTTGGTGCATTTGGAGGTAGAATGGCACTACTGAAGGATGTACACATGTAACGATGGTGAGTGTATTTTTCAACGTAAAGGTTGACGTGACAGAAAAACTACAAACGCCACCTAATGATGCTTAATATTTTGGTTTTGTTGGGTCTGTTTCCAACAAATCTAAATTACCAGCTATGTATACATGTATCATGCTTTCGTCTGAACCGAAACAACCAGTAATATTCGCTACAGCTATATATATATATATATATATATATATATATATCGTACAGTAAAACAGTTCGTCAGATTTTGTGGATCCATTTGACGGAACTCACACAGGTTCTTCTGAAGGGTTTTGAAGTCAGCCGGAGAAGAGGATAAGACTGATATGTGGGATGCAGAATAACGTCATTTATAATGATTTAAACGGATTCGCGTATAGGAAGGGACTGATTAGAATTCTCTGCAATAGTTTTAGTGAGAAACTGGGGGATATTTATCCAACAAGGCATCGAAGACGGATGTCCTATGTTCTTCCTTTCCATAATGTTATTCTTCCACCAGCAATAACATTTTTCTATATAACTTAATGTTGCATTTTTGTATGGCCATGATGAATGGCTGTTCAGAGTTATCTGGTAGGTTGTTCTCGCTTGTGTTATGTTTCTTTATGTCTATCCATTCTTACGCAGTAGGAGTGGTATTATTTCACTTCGACTCGTAAATCTCATCGGGTGAGGGTAAAATCAACAGAGATAAACACAGTAACAAAGAACTTCGCTTGAGAAAAAAGAAATTACTTAGATCCTTCTCACATTTTATCCTATTCTACAACTGATCACGATTGGCCAGCTGACTGAATCAATTCTTTTCCTATCCTAATAATTTTTAATCGATAATAATAACAAATATAAAATGGCTAAAATAACAGATAATCATAAATAGCAAAAATGGAAAAAAGTTTAAATATGAAATCAGTTCAAATTGAAAAATTACTTTTGATTGTTTATAGTAAAGAAATCAATATATTGAATCATGTTAGGCGGAAAATAAAATAAAGAAAAGAAAAATGGACTCACCCAGTTGATGAGCTAAATGCCTTCCTCGATCTACAGATACAGCTCTGTCGTCTACTAGATCACATTTATTCCCGACGAGAACAACTTGTGCATTATCCCATGAATAGGTTTTGATTTGTGTTACCCTGTGCAAAAAGGAGCAACCAATGATTGATTAGAAGTATGATAGTAGATTTTGTTTTATATCCCATTTGCTTTGAGCTTTGAAGTTTCAATAGCAGTGGGTAGAGTTGCTATAGCCTCACACCTTACCTTCCTTTTTTACTGGGGCTTACAACCAGCTAATCGAAGTTTATAGCAATGCATCCCCCGGAGATCGAACTGCAGATCACGTGCCTGTTTGATTTATTAGTTATTCACACATGAATTGATCATCGAACAGCAATGTCTGACTAAAATTGATCGATACAATGTGTAATATGGCTTAACAGATAAGTTGTACGAGGTATTAATGTGGTGAGACCCGACTGCTAGCCAAATTGGTAGACGGTAATTTACGTCAATGCTTACGTCCCCAATGATTGGTCATCAGGAAAATAAGAATACAGACTGGTTCAACAACCAACCACAGCAGACTTTGCGTAGGCGGATGCAGTTAACATATAGAAGATCTGAGATTCAAGAAACAGCCACAAAGAGATGAAAGATTAATTTTCAGTGAGAAACAACCAATCAGAAGACTGTGTTTTTCTGCTAACAATAATCTATAATAATGTACATGAAAATCCATAAATATGTGTTGATTTCCTTAATAAACGATCTGTTGCCTGGCCCTTGTATTCTGTTGTTACATTAGTACACTCATCAGTAAGGCGTACCCTACAACCTATTGTTTTATCTTTTTGGTTTGCCATTCTGCTTAACTGAACCATTGAAAGTGAAAACAATTAATAAAAAAGCCATTTATACGCAATTATAGTTAGTGAATTCAAAATTGTCATTTAGACAGTTACGGAAAAAACAAACACCGAATATACTTATTTTTTTTAAGTAACTCCTCATCAACCGCTCCACACTACTATGTAGATATATTGATTACAGCTTGATGCCACAAAGTATGGAATTTTCAGCATGGATATGGGTAGCCCAAATTTTGCAGGCTGACCACAGATATCGGGTGTGCGTCGGCAGGGGATCGAACACCGGACCATGTGCATGGTCGGAGAGAGTCCTAACCCCTGTGCCACCGACGCACAATGAAGTATTTCTAACCAATAAGAAGACAACAATTCAGTGAAAACACTTCCATGTAGTTTAAAAAGTTTAGAAATATGCAGACAAAACATTTTTGTAAAAGCCAAGTACTCACCAATCCTGGACGGCATTAAAGGATTCCTCATTGGTAATGTCATACATCAATATGAAACCCATTGCGCCACGGTAATAAGCTGTTGTTATAGTGCGATAGCGTTCCTGACCAGCTGTATCCTACAATAAATGAAGACAATACTATAGCGTCAGATCTTTGCAAAACTGTGAACATATATATATATAGAATGGGAAATTCGGAAAGCTTGCAGAAAGCAATCCACAACTTAATATTTTCACTTGGCAATATAAGACAGAAGTAAATGTAAACTGTATCACAGATGCTACTTAATCATAACTGGGAAATGTGTTAAGCTAAAAGAAGCAGTCTTCCTCATTGGGCTATAAGATGAAATAGGAATGTTAGAAAAACTCTAACCGTACGGTAGACGGAATACTAGACACACCGTAGAATTTTGATTGTCTGAAAACATGTCGTAATAATCAGTTAAAGTGTTTCCACATTATAGTAACTTACACCTTAAAAGCATATATGCACTTGAACAATAATGATCTAAGAGAATGACCACCAAAATGACCGTGAGGTCAACCAATCAGATTTCACCCGCCCGTCTGTTTATGTTCACGCGAAAGTGTAATCTGGACGTGCAATATGTGTCATCTGATTTAGATGGTGGATGTATATCATTGATATAAGTATAAAACTTGGGCACTGTGGTAGAGTATGACTCCATTATAGATAAGATTTTATTTTAATAAGTCACACAGTTATATTAACTGATGACGCTTCGAGCATAAATTATTGCTCATAATCATATCAAGTTACTCACACAACTTTCTTGTTTCATTTATATACATGTGTGGAATTGACTAGATATGTGAATAAAAATCAATATGCGATAATGTACATTCAGAAATAATAATATGAGTGTTATTTATCAATTACAATCAGATGGGAAATAAGACGAGTCTTTTTATAGTTATAATAAGTTGTGTGTTAATGCATGCAGTGCAGTTGCTGAGCTTTATTTCTAAATTACTTATCTTCTCGGGGTCAACCATTCTTACCTTAGCCAAATTGGCGCAACATAAGAATTTGGCTAAGGTAAGAATGGTTGACCCCGAGAAGATAAGTAATTTAGAAATAAAGCTCAGCAACTGCACTGCATGCATTAACACACAACTTATTATAACTATAAAAAGACTCGTCTTATTTCCCATCTGATTGTAATTGATAAATAACACTCATATTATTATTTCTGAATGTACATTATCGCATATTGATTTTTATTCACATATCTAGTCAATTCCACACATGTATATAAATGAAACAAGAAAGTTGTGTGAGTAACTTGATATGATTATGAGCAATAATTTATGCTCGAAGCGTCATCAGTTAATATAACTGTGTGACTTATTAAAATAAAATCTTATCTATAATGGATGTATATCAGGTGTACAAGTTGTCAAAGAAGAATGAGTGTTACAGACGCTTTGTTCATTAATTCACTCATTTTACGATTTCAAACTATTTCCATATTGATGAGAGTATTTATCTGCCAGTATTGGCCAATTTAGAGTGGATTCTGAGAGACCACCGTACAAAACGGAAATTACTTGATTTCGACTGCCCAGAAGTATCAGCATTGTCCCGACATCACTTCATGTTAAATGAACAATAACGTCACGACATTATTGCGGAGTGGCAGCAATAGTGCATACAGATGAGACTGTGTTGGTCAAAAGGAAGTATGATCATGGAGACAAGTACTACTGCCAACCAAGATTTTAACTGACTTTTTAAATTTAAAAAATGATAATCTGTTTTCATCACTTGCTGGTTTTGTCTTTCCAGTCTGTTGGGAAAAAAGGAGAGTGAAGGCAAACGATGATGATGATGCCAGATATTTGTTACTTTAACAAGTATGACTGGATTTAACATTTTCAAAATGGAAAAGACAAAAGGTGAGAGAGAAAGGGGAACAAATATGAAATAAACTGCACTAACCAACAAAAAATAAACATTAACAGAGGAACGTACTTATTCATTTTTATTTATTAAAGATAACGGTATTTAGAGAATAAATAATGACAAACAACTCTGATATGTATAATTAAATGTAATGGTGGAATTGGACCAATGTAGTAGAATATAATTCCGTATTAGATAAGTTTACTTGATATGTAATACACAGTATTATTTATAGATGGATGAAATTTCAAGCACAATTTCATCGCTTATAATCGTATCGATGTATTTACACGACTTCCCGACCTGCTTTATATAGTCGTTTTCCAATCCCTTTTGTTTCTAAATGCAGGTTTTGATATATCTAGAATAGAAGTTGCATGTATCTGGTGTTGGCTACGTGAACAAAGGCACAGTGGTTAACTTATCTGTTCACCTAACAATATTACTCTTTAAAACACCTTTACCCTAACCCACCCTATTGTGTGATTATGTGCGAAAGGGTGCATTGAAATGGCCGAACTCGTTTCAGTTTATCACTCAAAGACAAACTCTGTCAGATTAAGGAGCCGACAGATCCAATTAAGAAAGTAATTTACCAAATATCATGTAATCACTGTGAGGTCGATTACATAGGTGAAACTAGTAGATTGGGGTCAATAAGAATTTAGCTAGGCCTAGAATGGTTGGAGAAAAAAACTCGGTCATTGTAATGCATTCACTTGGATGTAATCACACAATATGATGAGATAAGGCAAAAGTATTAAAAAGTAATAGAGTTAGCTGAAGACACACTGTGGTTAATCACTGCAACTTTATTCTTTCAATCAACAATGAACACCTACAATACAAATGACGCAACGCTGAATATAAGGCTATATAAACTATATGTGTTCATTTTCAAGTTTGAAGAAATTCGGACTTTGGTATATGATATTCATTGTTATAAAAGCCATTTCAATTCGCTGGTTTTATTATAAATAATACAATGAATTGGGCTTGAAACGCTATCCGGTTATTAATACTGTATCACATGTGTTATATCAGGCAAACTTATGTAATAAGCAATTTAGTAAGACAATTATTAAAAGTAATTATATCTATTTATTTGAACTACAACAAGATAAAATGTAATCGATTTTTTCTGTTATTCATAAAAATTTATGGATTTAAAATACGGATTGCTGCAGTCTAAAAAAGTCTTAAAAAACGGATTGCATTCATATCGACCGATCTATAAAAGTGCACAATCCCAAAATACACAGTAAAATTTTAGAACAAATCAGTATAGAATATACATATACACAACATCCTAGTTTACTAATTCGCAAGTTTTTTAGCCGGTGGGTGTGGGGATTGCAAACTTACGACGCGAAATGAATTCAATCGCCACAAAAACTTCGAAGTACAAAAATGATTAGAAAAACTTATTTTGCTCTGCAGTCAGAGACATGACACAGTAGGCTGGTAAAAGCCTTCGCGAAGCCGGTCAGCCGATGTGTCTTCTCTCGACTAAAGCAATAGTAAGAATGAGTACGTGGAATGTCCGTACAATGTACGAGACTGGGAAGGTTGCCCAGGTAGCCAAAGAGAAGCGAAGATATGACTTAGAAGTACTGGGTATCTGCGAAAGCAGATAGAATGGATGTGGATTGACAACATTGTCAACTGGAGTCAATAATCTACTCCCATCACTAAGACGACAAAAGACGAACACAGTGAAGGAGTGGCTGACATGATATCACCAGTGGCAGCCAAAGCCCTAATGCAGTGAGAACCAATCTCCTCCTACAGGATTCAATTCGAAAGGAAGGAAGGTTACAACTGTCAAATGCTACTCGCCTACAAACAAATAAGAACAAGAAAGGGGAGATGTTTATAGACAACTACAAAGAGTATTGGACAACACCGCAAATGGTGACATCAAAATCCTTATGGGATATAAAGGCCAAACTGGAAGCAGACAGTACAGGAAGAGAATTCATAGAGGGTCGAGAGGCTCTGAGGCGAAATGAATAACAACGCAGAACTCTTCTCAGATTTCATCTCAATCTCAAGGAAGTGGAGACGCAGCTAGCCTGCTGGATACAAAGTCAAGAAGGGGAGCAGATGTGGGCCCAGATCATCATCTAGTTCAAGAAACCTTCAAGGTGAAGCTGAAATCCTTCAGAACAACGAGAGATAGACCTCAATTCAAGTTCAACACTCAGAAACTGAAAGACGAAACTATAAAGGACACCTTCATTGCAGCCATAAGAACAAAGTCGGAGACATTAGGTGAGGAAACCTGCGTGGAAAAACATCGGAACTCTCTGAAGGTAATGCTCAAGGAAACGTGTACAACTGTCCTAGGAAGAAAGAAAAGGAATGACTCCCTATGGATACCTGACAGCTAATAGAAGAGAGAAGAAAGGTGGAAGAGAAGATGACTCAATGCAAAGATGGACAACAGAAGGAGAAGCTGAGTTCAATGTACATCGCACTGAATAAAGAAGTGAAGAAGAGTGCTCGGAGAGACAGAAGACACACTGGAAACTGAAGTAAAACAGGCCGTAGGCGAAAGGGACCCCAGTACGCTATATCAGATAACCAGGTCTCTATCCGGGAAGAAATTAACACAGCTAAAATCTATAAAAGATGTTGAGCGAACCTATTTACCAAGAAGTGACAGGAGCATCAGATGTTTGTTCCGTCTTAGTGTGAGACTTGGTGGGGTTATGGGTGAATACTGCTAAAGAGCCCCGAACTAAGATGCAGAACTGCTCAGTGCTCCCTGGTTTTTCAGTGACTCTCCAGCTGATGCCAGTTCGTTATCTAACTCGAAACCAACCCAATCACAAAACATGAGGAAACTAAATTTTTAGTTCAAGGGAGTTAACTTTAGAGACACAATAATTTTAAGCACACAGTAGTGGGCACATTCAAGTAACAGTGTTATCATTTTGCTCTGATATTTTTCATAACCTAGGCCGTTATATTTGACTAGTTTCTCAGCAACATGCTGAGCGCAAAGTGTAGTCTTATGCTGATATGTCCAGTTGGCGAAACCGAAGCGTATATTACCAAGGTATGATAATTATCCAAATACAGATTTCAAAAGTTTTATTGGCTGGAATCTATGTATGTCCAGGACTGAATGTTCGGCAGATGTTTGATATATCGATAATGGCCGCAAAAGGTAAGTGCCCTATGGTAATAGTGAAGTGAAGATGTCCCTTTAATAAGACAAACAGATCAGTATTATTAGCCACATACAGAATTCATTATCTGCTGACAAAATATTCATATTTCAAAAGTCGCAAAACTGTCATTGCCAAAATTGCCATACTGTTTATATTATACGTAAGTTAGCACATACTGCGCTCCAAAGAACCGTTGACGGTATCGAAAAGTATTGTGGCAAAAAGGGATAATTTTGAGTAAATTCGCAGTGAAGTTTTACATGCTGTGCGGTCATCACGTTGGACTCAGCTGCTAGAAATTCCCACCACTTTACAATCTAAAATATATAAACTTAAGCATGATCGTATTCTTTTATTGTTTAGATGACTGCGTAAGAGATTTATGTTCTACAAACTAATAGCAATCGACTACTTTGAATCCAATAATAAAGATAATGATATCCGATTATTTCATGAGTTAATAGATGACTAGTTTTCTGCAGTAATCCGACAGGAAACGATCAGGGCTAGATCTCACCCTGTCAATTATTTTTAATCTCAGTGCAAACTCGTATTTCACTGATTTAATGAGTAAAGTAGAGAGTTAGGTCCGATTTCGGATTTACTAAGCAATTTTCCGGGAATATGGGCTTTGAGAAATTTCTTTGCATTCATGGCAATTGCGGGGAAATCCAGCGTGAATTCCGGGGTACCTGGAGTAACTATGAGCTATCTGGGAGTAATCTTAGGGCTTTAGGGAAAATGCCGATATTTTGATGTATTTGCCTAAAATCTGCACCGGAACTACTAGATTTTCACTTAAGTGAAGCGAGTGTAAACACTCAGTCGTTGCCAGTAAATACACCAGTAAATAACATTGTTTCACTGTGTTAAATCAAGTGAATTACTTAAATATTAAGTTCAAATCTTTACTACATAGTGCTATAGCTCTATATTTGTAGGTTACCCAGCTAGCATTTTTTCGGACGCATTGCAGACTTTTTGGGGCAAAAACACCGGGTAGATCTACTTACGTGGGACAGTGTTCCGAAGTCTGACCCAAAAAGTCAGCAATGCGCCCCAAGTCTTCCTCGGAATTTGCAATGTGTCCGAATTCTGCCCCAAAAAGTCTGCAGTGCGCCCTAAGTCTGTCCCTAAAAGTCTGCAATTTGCCTAAGTCTGTCCCAAAATGTCTGCAATGCGCCCGAAAAAAAAAGCTAGCTGGGTATAATCTACGAATATATTGAGTAGAAAATGAAAGATTTAAAGTTACTATGACTTACCCATATTTGCAATTTGACTCTTTTATCTTGTCTAAAGATTGTCTTAACTTTGAAGTCGATGCCCACAGTTGAGACAAAAGCTGATGTGAAACTATCATCTGCATATCGGAAAAGGAAAGATGTTTTCCCGACTGAAGAGTTTCCGATAATAAGAAGCTTGAACATGTAATCAAAGTTTTGGTCAGCTGCATCTCTAGCTTGACTCATGTTTGCGCTTATTCGTCACTATAATAACTATCCTCGGAATTATGACAAGACACGTACAACGCGCTTTTCTGAAAACACTAATGTATGTACAATGCTACAGGGTAAAACAAATAACTTACCGTCAGGAGTGTCTGTACAAAGAAATCTAGTAATAATCCTTGAAAAGACCATAAAATTCTTGTCATAGCATTTTTTACACTGTCTTAAGACACAATGGTTTTGCTAGCGGACATAAATCGAATTGATATCTTCCTGGGAATAAACTGTTCATCTCCATCTCAAATCTTCACACGACGTGGCAGAAAATGGCAAAATATAATGAAGAAAAATAACTGAATGAATAAACAGAGTAAGTAGAAGAGTAAGACAAGGAAGTGGGCATAGTCAGTGATGTTGATGGTGAAATTTGGTTGAAAACGTGGTGATACGTTGCCGTATGTAAGAGTTAAGAGTATTTTTACCTGTCTTGGGTCATTTGGACGCAACTCGTGCCTCACTGCATGGTTATCCAGCCTTTGCTCGAAAATCCTCAGATTTTTTTGCAAGAATGATTCATAAGTAGCATTCTGACACTTCACAGGACATGTTATCACCTCATAGTGAGTAAGCGTATATGCATGTTCTTGAAGATCATAATCGAAAAACTTTCCCTTTCTTTATGCTGAATACTATTTTACTAGCCTGTGTACAGTTTTCCAAACAATTTTTCACTGTCTCCGAACTCTCTGAGTCCTCTGAAAATGGTACTGCTGTCCGAATATTTGCATTAGGAGGATTCAAGCAGTTCAGATGTAATCACAGATGATTCTCAGACATTAGAAACACTGGAGATCCTAGAATAAAACCCTGTGAGACCTATAGCTCCGAGCTGTGCTGAAATAATTAAGCACGGCTGACTTTGGCGCAGAATTCCCTTCCGTCTAGAATGTCCGCTAGCTTTGATTGAAACTGGACACCAGTTCCCGCATGGCTAATTTTGTGGGGAAGAATGTCAAGTTGAGAGGAGCTTAACGCTCTCCTGAAGTCAGAGAGGCACTACAGAGAGAGCTATGATGGCACGGCTACTACTACATGAGGGTGCTTTAATTTGCACCTTAATTCCACCATGGGGCAGATAATGCTTTCTCCTACGTCCCCAGTAGTCCCGGTTCTCCTGATGGTACATGGTAGACTCCGACCGGTATTGAACTGAACAAACCATGGTCTTAAGTTGATGCATGGAGAGTTAAAGTTTCAGGTCATTATTATTTATCGTAGAGCTGCATCGACAGAATTAAATCGGTTATGGTCTGAATGCAACAAAATGATCTTTACGTTCTATAGTATAACCAACAAAATTTCGTTGATAGGCGCGTTATGACAAAACTTTCCGAAAGCAGATAAACGGCGACTATTCCACAATATCTTGCAGTAAAATTCCCCGCCGACCATAAGTCCTATACCGAAAGAGCATTTGGCCTTGCTTGATTCCCCGTTGCACACAAGGTGGAAAGAAATTCAAATAACGTCTTTTCCAAAAAGGAAGCCACATTCCAGTTAGGGTCTATCTGAACTTTGAAAGTGATGTTTGCTTTTGGATATCATATGTGTGACCTTGAGGTGTAGTGTAAGATTATTGCGGAAACATTGTTTCGAACTCTGCTGCCAACTGAAAACTATAGTTAACGCGGACATGGAAAGTGCTGTTGGGGTGTTCTGCCAAGGTGTTATTGACACTGAGGCTTGCTACTGGGAATAAGTATACATATCCCCTCAAAATCAAACGTCATTATAAGGGAGAAGAACACCGGTAGAAGTACACAGATCCAAGCACTAATGGTTATGTGATCTGCTGCATCACATCAAGAGATTTCACGCAATCGCCCTGTGTCTATGTAATTCAAGATTGAACGATCAATTCATGGTTGTTTGCTCAAAATCAACTTCCCCAATTTTCGCGGAGGCATCAATACGACAGTCATCGTCTCATCGGTCGCTGTTCAGAAAGAAGAGTAAAATATCATCAGAAGTAATATAACGATTTATTATTGTAATATTTGTTCACAGACCTTAGTTCAGTTATTATTTCTATATGTTGGTGTAACAATAAAGAAATATCAAACGGCCAATCGGTGTTTTGGTTTTTTCGTCCGTTATAACTAAGCGTTTCTGAAAACTTCAAGGAACAGCGTGGGCCCGAGCGTAGCAAGAGCTGGGCATTAACGGTTTATGAGACGTGATTGACAGTTTCTGACGATAGAAACAGATCTGGCGGATTCAAACAGTTGGTGAAAGTTTGGATAGTCACCGTTCATCTTTCCTGGTGCCGGTCAAGTCCTCTTTGAACAAGCAATATCTGGAACGTTTTTGGAATTGGGTCAAGTTCAACAATGCCTGGGTCAAAGAAGGGACAGAGTGTCTTGGATGCAAACAGGAAAGTAAGTCATGGTGACTTGTCTGTTAATTGTAACGATGTGTCTGATGTTAAGCATGACATGGTTGATGTTACTGTTTCGCCGTTCAGGGATAATAGGAACATCAAACTCCCTAAATTAGAACCACGGTGTTTTGATGGAAACCCAGTTGATTATTTACAATTTGTAAAGGAGTTTGAGATCATGTTGAGTGGTTTTTATTAAGTGATGAATTGAAGTTGATGTATTTGATGAGATATTGCACTGGAGATGCTGCAAGAGCTATACAGTGTTGTAAGTTTATGAAGCCAAAAGAGGGCTACGATGAGGCTATGAGCATATTACGTCAAAGGTTTGGAAGACCTTCGATGATTGCAGGGAAATTATTCGAGGCTGTTAAGGGTAATGGTGGTCAATTACAGGATGACTCCCAGGCACTCACTGAGTTTTTAGATAATTTGCTAATTTACAAGAATGGAATGATTTCGATGAATCGCATGAGTGACCTCAACTCGAGTTTTATACTAGAAGTAATAGCAAGACGTCTACCTACTCGACTGCAAAGGAAGTGGGTGAAGATGAGCTCCCGTATGGAGGATGAGGGTATCGAGCCAAAGTTTGATGATATCCTGAAACTGGTAAAAGATAGTGTCAATCAATCTATGAGCAAGTTTGCCAGTCTATTCATCTCACCCCTAGAATAGAGCAGTCTGAGGGTAAAACGCAATCATTGATGACGAATAGGCCTCAGAGAGGTGGATATCGAGAAGGCTCCATGATGTCTAGTAATGCATATAGACCTAGTGAGTGTAACAGGTTTCGTAGTACATCCTCAACAGATAAGTTGCAAGATGCAAGACAAACACGGTTGTGTTTTACACGTTTGCAAGAGGTGCATACAGAAGTGAACTGTGAACCAGTGAGCAAGTTCAGTGATAAGCTAAATGTAAACTCCAGGCCTGACTCCGAATTGTGTGACGATAACGGTGCGGTGAAGAAGTCTGTAGTTGCAACTGGTAAGCCATTGTTGAATAGAGTGTCACAGAATAGAGTTACTGCTTCAGAGTGCAGTTCTGACTCCAAAAGTTTACAAAGTATAACTAGTCAGAGTGAAGATATAAAACCTTTAATGATTTGTGAGGAGGAACCAAAATTGTCTACTTCTGTTATTAAAGAGTTTGAAAATGATGAACTTGACGGTAAATTGAATATTTGTGGTAATGATCATGATAGTGCAGATTTGTCTTTGGTTGATCATGATGAAATGGAGGGAATGCCTACTACCGCTAAGTTAAATAAAGGTTCTGTACAACTTGAACGTGAAGTAGAAATAAATGCAGGTGCAGTTGCAGAAGGCATGCGTACTTGTGAGACCGTCAGTGTGATTGATCAGCATGTAGCCCACCTATCATCAGATGCTAGTGCTAAACCTGAGCTAATAGTAAAAGACAGCAGTGGTGGTAATCTTGCAGTTAGACAACTTCTGAAAGCCGAACAACAACAGCTTCTGATCCACCGCTAACTTCATCAACTGTATCAATCAGTCGTCGTTGGTGTTGTCATCCACAATGAAACAGACGCCCATCAACTCAAGTATCTTGTGCAATGACTATGCAGTATCAGTTCGTTTGAAAGGACGAAAGATATTGGTCAGTTTAGTGAGGATAAGCCAAGTGTAAACGAGAGAGTAATTGTTAAATTGACTTGCACGAATAAAGGCATTTCTAGTTTCAAGTTACTATTTGAATGTTATTATCTTTGGTGTAAATTACTCTGTTTCTACGCTTGGTTGACCAGATATGTCGTGTGTTTGTTCGTCATCTATATTCTACGATACAATGACATGAGCGTGTTGCCGTTCAGATTTGAGGATATAGCTGATAGAAGGAAGTCAGCAAATGAACTCTGCGACGATTTTCCAACCTAGAGCGTCAACCTGAGAAGGGTTGTAGGCGTACTGCTGTAAGTCCTACAATTCTTCAAAGGGTAGCGCATCAATGAGCAGTCCAATGTGCTCGGTGTGTGATTTTGTACATATGTTCATATTGTATATACTGAATTGATATCATCTGTCATCTAGCTGTTGGTAATTCTGTTTGTGTCCGGACGACTTCCACTTGGATCATCAACCTGAGAAGGAATGTAGGCGTACTGCTGTAAGTCCTACAGTTCTTCAAGGGTAGTTTGTCGTGCCAGAATCCACAACATTTGATGTGTTGATTGTACATATGTTTGTGTTAAATAATTGTGTGAGTTCCAATTGATGTAATTGTTGGTTAATCTTGTTTGTGTCCGGACATTCCACAAATTACAATCGTCAACCTGAGAAGGGTTGTAGGCGTACTGGTGTAAGTCCTGCAATTCTTCAAAGGAATTCCATCAAGACATGATCGGCGAGGTTGTTTGTACTATTTGTATATATTGTGGTGTGTCATATCAATTGGTGTTTTTGGATTCATTGTGTTTACTCGTTGTTTTCGTATCTTGTTGTTATTGCGTAATTTTGTTAAAATTTTCGTCGTGATTACTTCTGAAGTTGTTTCTAGTCTTCTACATCCATGAATGAATTGATTGATGTTAAGGGCGTATACGCCGGGGAGGCTAGGC